CCTCTAACAATGAAGCCCTCACACACAGGGTCAGACCTCCAGTATCTTCCCACTGACAAGTGTTTCAAATGAAGAGGCTGCGCTGACCCGCCGGGCCCTCTCCCCTGTGAGGAAATGTGCCAGCACACGGGACACCTCTGTCCTCAGTGCGTCAGAGGACTTTAGTACGTGTGTCCTACAGCTTCTCATCCAGGGAAAGGTCTGCTAGCTGCACCAAAATCCTCACCAGTGACCAAATTTCTCCCACCCAGCTATATCTTTGAGTTCAGTGAAGCACGCTGCTCACAAGCTGCCACATCCCACTGCCAACATCTGAACAGCACGGAGGCGCCAGCCCCTGCTGCTAAACAACATCCCCCTGCAGGAGACACCTCACGTGTGTGAGGAGCCCACACTGAATGAAATGATCACCACCAGAAGTTAGACCCTTCTTGCCAAAACCTTACCTTTGGCCACCTGGTTTCGACAAGCGCGGAGGGACTGAAAAAGACTGAAGCCATCAATGGTCACAATGGCTGCGGGGTACAAGATGCTCAGCTCTTCATTCTGTGTGGGAACAAAGGAAACACACCCTTTCTTAAACAGACACAACAATTACACACCTCCCCTTTTAAAAACACTTAAGAATCACACTCAGTTAACTACCAAAACAGCCAACTGCAAACACCAGCAACCAGAGGGAGCAGCAGAAGGCAGCAGGAACTAATTTCAGGACGCCTTCTGGCCGAAGACTTTAACTTCCTCTCAAATATGAGCTTTGCCTGTAGTAGGAAATGGTTTCTGGATAATAGTGAGAGTAAAAATCTTGTTCCAGCTCACGAGAAATAGTCATTATAGAGATGTAAGTCACGTATTTAAAAAAGAAGCTCACAGGGTGTGGTGGCACATGCCTTTGATTCCAGGTGAGGCAGAGATAGGCGGATCTCTGAGCTCAAGACCAGCCTGGTCTACAGAGTGAGTTTTAGGATAGCCAAGACTACACAGAGAAATCCGGTGTGACAAACAAACAAACAAAATATAAACAAACAAAGTACCTCAATACCTCACAGACGCTCACTTGAAATCAGAAGCCTGTCCCAATACACATTCTCAAATAAATTCATACATATTTGCATAAGTTTATCATACACATTTTATATACACATTTGTCCTACAGCACAGTACTGAGTGTGATGCCTCTAATCATCAATACTACAGTTATTTATTTACCTATAGTGCTGAGGACTTAACTCAAGCCTTATACACTAGGTAGGTATTTTGTCAATTATGCTTCATCCCAATCCTAATTTTCCCATTTTATTAAGCACACAGATAAGATTTAATTTTGTTTTTTGTCACAATCTTCTGCCTCAGTAATTTTTAAAAATCCAATTTCAAGTAGGGCATGATGAGATACACCTATAATCCCAGCACTAGGGAGGCAGAGGTAGGGGGATTACGGGTCTCAGGACAACATGAGCTATACAAAGAACACCAAACCCCCACAGGTACCCCTGACTCCAGTCTCTCACACTGTGGCCTAAGAACAAGTGCTCCAGTGGCCTGTGACTTCACCTCTGCCTTCTCTGGGAGCTTTTCCTCTGCATCAATTCTGAGTTCAAACAAACTTGGATCACTCTGCTTACCAATCAGATTCTGCTTTCTAATGGGTTGGTTAGTTAGTTACCATGCACAAAATTCTACATTTGAGCCTTCCCTCACTTTTCTCCTGACTCCTGGAAATATAACCCTTTCTTCTCCCACTAACCAATCAAATTGCATGCTCCTTATCCAAGGCCCACAGCAAATCTCTCACCCCATGGAATTTCCTCCTCCCGGGACAGTCATAGCTCAGTCTTCCCCTGCAGTTTACTTTGATCGTGTGACTGATTAATTCATTATTAGATCCTGACAGACAAAAATCTAGTTTCTCGTACTGGACTGCTTTTTCTATAACTCCTGTAATGTATTGTGCAATTTAAGTCCATGTATGTACTCAGTATATGTCTGTTTGACATGGGGTTTTCTGGAACTAAATAGTGCAAAAAGAAGGATTAATTATAACGTTTTAACCCTACACTGTACATGGAAGGAAAGCACGCTGGTTCAGCAGTGCTACAGTAACTGTTTTACTGTGAGACAAACACTTCTTTTCACTATAGGTAATTTTGACACTTGAATTAAAATTGAAAAGGTACAAAGTTTCATTAATATGTTTTCACCTTAAGTCACTGTGGTGGTCTGGCCCCCACAGGTTCATAGACTTGAATGCTTGGTCACTAGGGACTGGTACTATTAAGAGGCGTGGCCTTGTTGAAGAAGTGTCACTCGGTTGTGGGCTTTGGGGTTTCAAACGCTCAAGGTAGGCCTAGTGCCTCCCACTCTTCCTGCTGCCTGCAGGTGTAGGACCTCAGCTCCTCCAGCACCACGTCTGCCTGCAGGTGTAGGACCTCAGCTCCTCCAGCACCATGTCTGCCTGCAGGTGTAGGACGCTCAGCTCCTCCAGCACCACGTCTGCCTGCAGGTGTAGGACCTCAGCTCCTCCAGCACCACGTCTGCCTGCACGGCACCTTGCTTTCCACCATGACAGTGACAGACTAAATCTCTGAAACTGTAAGCCAGCCCCAATTAAGTGTTTTCCTTTATAAGAGTTGCAGTGAACGGACTACTGCTCAGAACCCTGGAGGGCCACAGCAAGACCGTCCTTTGCATGAAGGTGGTGAACGACCTTGTGTTCAGTGGTTCCAGTGACCAGTCGGTCCATGCTCACAATATCCATACTGGTGAGCTTGTGCGCATCTATAAAGGTCACAATCATGCAGTGACTGTGGTAAACATCCTGGGGAAAGTGATGGTGACTGCTTGCCTGGACAAGTTTGTTCGAGTCTACGAATTGCAGTCCCATGATCGACTGCAAGTTTATGGAGGACACAAAGACATGATTATGTGTATGACCATCCATAAAAGTGTGATTTACACTGGTTGTTATGATGGAAGCATCCAGGCTGTGCGGCTGAATCTGATGCAGAATTACCGCTGTTGGTGGCATGGCTGCACTCTGATATTTGGTGTTGTGGATCACTTGAAACAACATTTGCTGACTGACCACACTAATCCGAACTTTCAGACGCTGAAATGTCGCTGGAAGAACTGTGATGCTTTTTTCACAGCTAGGAAAGGATCCAAGCAGGACGTTGCAGGACATATTGAGCGGCATGCTGAAGATGACAGCAAAATGGATTCGTGAAGTGTTTTGCCTCCCATGTTGGGAAGTCATTTGTAAACTATTTTCACATTGGCCCCTCACACAGGCCACTCTGTCCCTCTCCAGTGAAGCTGGGAAGGAGAAAGTGGTTCACAGCCAGACCTACCACTAGCAAAGTCTGGGCAGTCTGTGGGGTGATAGGTTACATACAAGTCAAGTCTGTGCTGGAGCGTGTAAGGGTGACGTTAGGCGGATTCTAAAGAACCATACCATACTCTTCTGGGAGAGATGACATACAGAGATTTATGCTACTAGACTATAGGTGTTTATTAAAGATTCAGATATTAATTGAAAAAAAAAAAGAAAAAAAAAAGAGTTGCAGTGGTCAATGGTGTCTTTTCATAGTAATAAACACTAAGATAGTCATCTCAACACAGTATTTCACTTATAAAATACAAAGACTGGTATTCTACTTAGCTACAAATTACATTTCCAGAATATGCCAGCTCAGCTAACTGTGCCACAAGACAAATCTCTCAATTTCCAGGCAGAAAAAGCAAAACAAAACTGCTTCAAAACAATGTCACTGTTACTTTTTTTCTAATTGATTTTACAGGTATAGATGTTTTGTCTGCATTTATGTCTGTGTATCACCTGTGCCTAGTGCCCGTGGAGGACAGCAGAGGGTATCAGATCCCCTGGAAGCTACAGAGGGTTTGAGCCACCATGTGCATTCTGGGAATTGAATCTGGGTCCTGTGCAAGAGCATCCAGTGCTCTTAACTGCTGGGCCCGCTCTCCAGTCCTGCCACTGTTACTCCGAACGTAATCTTTACATTACCTGCTCAGTCACGCCAGGGTGTCGGGGGATTTCATAGGTCCTGCACTTAAGCTGAAGCACTCTGTCCTCATTCAAAAGTTGTGCAAGCAGAAGCACACCACTCTAGAAGCAAGCACAGAAAGGCCCTGCTGGTTTCTCCAGTGTGACTGAACAGGGACAAGGCAAACAGACCATTTCCCAATAGTCTCCCAAGGACACCGAGTCCTCCTTTTTCACAAGCGTATGGCGTCTCTTCTGTTTCTTCTACAGATGATTGCTCATCTGGTCTTCTTCCACCCCATAAACCAGCAGTTCTCAACCTGTGGGTCGCAACCCGCAAAGACCATCGGAAAACATATTTACAGCACATTTCCTAACAGTAGAAAAATTACAGTTATGAAGTAGCAACAAGATCATCTTATGGCTGGAGGTCACCACACCATGAGGAACTGTATTAAAGGGTCGCAGCATTAGGAAGGTTGAGAACCACTGCTAAATCATCAGCTACACATTTCCCAGCATTCTTAGTAAGACTATCCTCTTGACTCCCACCTGTGTTCTTGATGAAGTAGTCATGAGGTGGCACAAAATGATATACAACACAGTCAGCTGGCTCTCTCTGCTGCTGGAGACCCAACTCACCTCAGTGTAGAACCGCACGTAACCAGACGTGAACCCCACCACAATGCAGGTCCAGTCAGGACGCCCAGTGGAACTCCTGTCACGAATAAAATTGACGATTGTAATGGCTCAGCCATCAAAGAGGAAGAGACACAGAGCCCACCCTCATCCTTACCTCTTTTGGCTTGCCAGTGGGATGCAGAGAGCACTGGTCACATACTCCCTACAGGCAGAAACCAAAGCAAAACCATGAGCTCAGTCACTGTGCAAACGAATTTTATGAGACGCTTTCTGAAACTTCCTCACATTCCTCCCAGGGAGGAGATATGGTCCAGCAGCTAAGAGTTCTTGTTGCTCTTGCAGAGCCTGGGTTCAGCTCTGACATCCTCATTTGACCTCAGAGGGCACCAGGCACATTGGTGCACACACACACACATGCAGGCAAAACATTCATACACATAAAATTAAATAATAAGTCTGTGAAAAACTGTTTTATTCCGATTAGGGTTTATAAAAAATCCTAAGAGCAACAAAAGGAAATCTGCTAACCAAATAGTTCTATACAACCAATAAAGTTGGGAAGGACACACACACACACACACACACACACACACACACACACACACACACTCATAAAACCTGTACACAGGAAACAGATGCACTTACAAACAGACCCATTCCCACATCTCACACACAGACAAACGAGAGAACTCACACCTACCCTTCGTCCACGCTCAAGGACCCACTCCAACCAACAGCAAACTGCATTTCTTCCTTCCCTTTATCACCATGCTTCCACTTTGCTGGGGGAAAAAAAAGATAAAATAAAACCAGTAACTTATTTATAACTCTTGATCTTTCCCCTTTAAACACTGACTTGGATATTTGTTATAGGTCAATACATAATGTTTTTAGTTTATAAAAGCATTTTTAAAGACCAGCTGGTCCCCTAGCCTTTGGTCTCTCCTTCCCCCACTTTAAACCACAACTTATTACTGTACTCAGAGTTTTTGCAAAATAAAGTTATGAATGCTCATATGCCACCGTACTAACTTTATTCAGAAGACTACTTTTATTTTCAAATGGCAAGGGCAAATTTTATATGAGATTTATGCCATGGGAATGGATTTTCTCTGTAAGACCACCCACAGACATCTTATACATAATCTTATTTTGTTCTATGAGGTTTTTTTTATAGTCTATCTAGCTCCAAATCTTAATATTTACATCTCCAACAAAAACTGACGAGCTGAAAACTTATGCACCAAGTGAAGATTACAGCACTGAGTTTTCAAGCTGCAGCTAAGTCCCTTTTACATTGCTGTAAGGAGCCAGTTACAGCTCTTTCCGCCAGTACTGCCTCAGAAGTGTCACAGAAGGACAACCGAAAAACAACAACAAAAAAAACCAAAACCACAAAAAAGCAGAGGCAACCCAGACTGAAAAGGAAGCACTCTGGGTCTAAGGAGATGGCTCAGTCCATAAAGTGCTTACCATGCAAGTGTGAGGACGCGCATACACACACACACACACACACACACACACACACACACACACACACACACACACACAAAAAGAGCGAGCCAGGGGCAGTTTAGGTCTGTGAGCTCAGTGCCCAAGAGGCAGAGATAAGAAGATGCCCGTTTGAGCTCTAGGTTCAGAGATCCTGACTCAAAAACTAGGGTGAAGAGCCACAGAGAAGGACACCTGACATCAGCCTGTGGTCTCCACACATGTGCAGAGGTGCCTGCACATACATGTGCACACACATACACATACCCCAAAAGGGAAATATTCTATCTATATATATAATGCAGTGCATAAATAATGTAGTGTGATAAATTATAGAACCACCATATAATATAGAAGAGAAATAACATATTTCCAAGTTCACATTCTGTTCTAATCTCTGCACTAAAATGGAGGCAGCAGAGAACAACGGTACTTACGCACTAAAAACGCGGCCTTTTGCTCCCGGGCTATCACCATAAGATCACTGGTTGGAGATAAGGATAAAACACACTCTTGAAGCCAGGAAGTTTTTTGTGTTTTAGAAGTATTTTCTTCTTCTTCCTATGCATAAAAATGTAATTATTATAAATGCAAACCATTTAAAGAATACTGCAACTGTGCCTGCCTGTCCTGAGTGAAAGGGGGAGAAAAGAAATACTCTTAATTCTTCCACACCAAAATAGGTCAATGACAGCCACCCAACAAAATACTACAATAAACACATCTGTTGTGAAACTGACACAAAACCTTCATACATAAACAGCAACGGCATTAGCAGAATGCAACGCAAGAAACACTAAGAATTAACTCAGTATTAGGAATTTCATCAGGCAGTAAAGCAGTCTTTAGAAAATCTCTCTCAAGGTCAGCAAGTTGGCTGGGCAAACAAAGGTGCCTGCCACCAAGCCTTAAGACCCGAGTTTAATTTCCAGACCTCACATGTTGGAATGAGAAAAGTGATGCCCCCAGGTTGTCCTATGACCCCCCAACACATGTGCTGTGGCATGCCCATGACGTGGAACATGCGTATGTGTGTGTGCGCACACCCATACACATAACACACAAACACACACAAATAAATAATATCTTTCAGCAGGCTCTGGCCAACTAGAGAAACCAGTGAAATGTATTACTGTATGCTCCTTTGCACATACAAACAAATACACTCACTGTGCTTCTCTCCCTTTTCCCTTGTGGGAATTGCACATATAATACATGCATACTTTAACATGCTGCTTTCTTCATTCCACAAGAAGTTTCTTCTTCTTGTTGAGGGCTTCATAACATTCTGTCAGAAGAACACTTAAAATTTGGGATACAGAACCTGCAGCCTCTGGTATAGTTACATGTGCTTCCCTTCACATTAGGAATAAGAATGGATTTGGAGCCAGCGCTAAGAAGGCTGCACACTCTTGAAAACAGAAAGGCATTATTACTGGCAAAATTCATATTTTAGTCAAGCTCTTTTTAAAGGGAATTCTGTATCTACCTTACTGTCTTAAAGACATATTTTCTACAGAAAAACTAGAGAGAAAATTATCTCTATGGATAAAAGTCAGCTGTAATTATATTTCTCCCTAGATCTATGATTTCTACTAGAACATAGTCTGTTTACTCCACACAGCATCCCAAGCTCCTCAGAGTGGGGCGCTATCACACCCTATGGCCTCCGCACTAGTGACTTGAGACCCAAGATACTAAGTCTGAGTCTTCGGTCCTTTCATGTGAGATCCCACTTTCGGGCAACAGCCTGGAAAGAGAGCAAACCACAGAGGAATAGTAAATATCTGATTTAAAAAAATAGTGATAGTCCAGGGATTATGGGCATACACCACCACACTCAGCAAAGACAGTGTATTCTTAAGGTATTTCTTTAAACATACCTTTAAAAACATCTTTCCTTTTCCCCTCTGTGGTGGTCTCAATGAAAATGGCCCCCATAGAATCATAGGGAGTGGCATTATTGGAGGTGTGGCCTTGTTGAGTAGGTATGACCTTGTTGAAGGAAGTGTGTCATTTTGGGGTGGGCTTTGGGGTTTCGGAAGTTCAAGCCAGGTCTCTTGTGAGGCTCTCTTCATGCTGTGTGGGGATCCACATGTAGAACTCTCAGCTACCTTTCCAAAACCTTGTCTGCTGGCATGCCACCATGATGAAATGGACTAAACCTCTGTACAGTAAGCCAGCCCAAATGAAATGTTTTCCTTTATAAGACTTGCTGCTGGGTATGGTGGCGCAAGCCTTTAATTCTAGCATTCAGGGGGCAGAGGCAGGTGGATCTCTAGTTCAAGGCTAGCCTGGTCTACCAAGTGAGTTCCAGAACAGCCAGGGCCACACAGAGAAACCTTGCCTTGGGGGTCGGGTGTGTGTGTTGCTGTGGTCATGGTGTCTCTTCATAGCAATAAAACCCAAACTAAGACACCCTCTATGTAGCGTTCCAGTTCCTTTGGTAACTGTACCCTACTCTGACTTTCCCGTTCTTGAAAATGTGGCCAATTGATAGAGAAGAACAAGAGTTCTTAGGAATCCAGCTCAAGGCATGGGGCAGTGGCAGCAGAAATAGAAGCTGTGCATGAAGGACAGAGATGTGTCTGAGGGAGCTCCTGTGTCAGATCTTTCAAAGACACTTCAAGTCAAAGCAGAAATAATCTGACAAAAATACCAGGATAGGGAAAATAAAGAAGCCCCCACCTCAGGCTGGATCACAGTGAACTAGCTTCTCCACAAAGCTGCATTTCCAGCTTAGCAGCAGGCTAAGGCATCAGTGCACAAAGCATTGGTGCACATTTGGTAGCTGCTAAGATGCAGGCTCACTGTTCACTTTATAACACGAGGATCTCTGCATACCAATTAGGTGTGTGGAAAAACCTACCCACAGTAATGGTCTACAGTCATAACACTGTTCCCTTGAAGCCAGTGATCCTAAAGTTAACACCACCAACTGAAAAGATGCTTAATTTCCCAAGTGAGGAAGAAATTAAAAAGAAAGAAAACAAAGTATCTCACACTTAAACCAGCAAGTTTCCGAGTTTCCCACAAAAACCAGACCCTGAAGCCAACACTGCATCCATTGTTATAAATGTGACCCTCTCGGGAGAGGGACGAAACCTCTGTCTTCATCTGATCGGTGGTGCAGGAAGCGGCCACAGAGGCCCTGGAGAAGGCACGTGCTCTCACTCGGCTTCGTCACAGCCTTAGCATTCCTTTCAGACCACAAATTTGTCAGATGATTCATTCTTTCAGGATGTGTCAGATGATAATCCTACAGCACCATAACCAGCCTTTGCTTGCAGACAGCTGCTACCACGCCAATGAATCATCATTTGCCTGCTGTCTATTGGTGTCTATGGCTCCACTGCTGAATGGGAGCAGCCACCAAAGCAGCCAGGGGCAGTTTCTCAGTTTGCAATTCTGACCTTGGATGTTCTTTTCACGGGCTAACTTTCAAAGTAGTCTATGCATCATAGGGTGCCAGTAAAATCCAGTGTTCTCAGGGTCTGCTCTCACACTCACAGCAGTTCTAGTGGGTGCCACCAAACTCAAATACTCACTCACACTTTCTGAAAGCAAGAGAGGTACCACAAAAGCAAGGTCTTCATGCTGCCTTTCCTGGTAGTAGTCTGCTTCTAATCTATGTTATGTCCAATGCTTTTCAAACTTTCTTTTCCTTCTTTTCTTGGGGTAAGGTATAATGGGACTTCTTGTCCCCAAACAAAATCCTACAGAACAGTTCAAAAGACCAAAGAGAGCAGAGATGGCAAAGCTTTGCAGCCCCTCCACCAAACCTCACACAGCGTAGAAAGATCAGAGCCTGAACCTCTCAAATTAAACAGCTTATGGTCTTCTCAAAATCAAAATGGGGCAAAGCATGAACTCTCTCTAATTTGGTTATATAAAAAAAAAGCTCTCTTTCAAGTAAAATTAGTGACAAAAATGTACACTCTGAATGTCAGTCTTTAAAATTAGAGGAAGTCAGTAATTTTACAGTGTATCTCACAGTTAGCTCAGGATTATTTGTTGTTACTTTCCTGGTTTCAGTGCTAAGGACTGAGCCCAGAGCCTTGGTCTCAACAGGCGAGCACACCCCGATTCCATTGTTATTTATGTCTAAACTGTAGAGTGTGATACTGTCTTAGGAGATTTTGCAAGTGTACACTCACTTGCCTATTCAACCTTTGATCTACATGGAAAAAGCCATCATGGAAAAGCCCTGGCATTGGTAATGATAAATATTATTAGTGTTAGAGAGTGAAATGCTTACATTTTTATGTAATACCTGAACTTTCCGCAATAAGCACGGCAAAAACAACTTCCTTTTTTATTATAAGCTTCATTTCATAATTAACTACAATGGAATTCCAAACTTAACAACCATGTGTCTCTATTTCTTGAATAAATATTTGATACTAGACAGTAGATCTCTTTACTCCACCAGGTGCTGTGTGGTACTAGAAAGTACCAAATAATATCTACCCAGAGACTCTAACATTTAGTTCTTAGACCAACACAACCAATAAATTATTAGCAATTAGTATCCAGTTGAAGTCAGAATAGACCATATTGCTAAATCAAATGCTAAGGGCTTTAAGCTGCTATTAGATTTTAGAAAAAATAAATAGTAGTAAGTGTTCACCAAAAAGATTTATATATGGAAAACATTAGATGACCAATGTCACCCACAAGTGAAATCAAAGATTAAAACATTAATGAGCATTTCACACTATCCTAAGATTGAAGTTTGCTAATATACTAGGGGCCCAACCATTTAGAATATACTTACAAAGGGCAGAACCCACTTTAAAAAGTCAACAACACGCATGCATTCACTTCTTAGTCCTTTGTTTAAAAGACTACAAAACAGACAATAGCACACCACTGGGCAGCAGCAGTGGGAGCTGGTGCAATGGATGAAGCGCTGGCTAAGCAAGTATGAGGACCAGAGTGTGGGTCTCAGAATCTGTCAGTGGGTGTGAAGCCTGCCTGGAATCTCATTTTGAAGGTGGAGACAGGACCCCCGAGGTAAGCTGACCAGCAGGCTAGCCAGATGAGCCCTAACAGTGAGCTCTGGTTGTATCTTAGACACTGCCTCAATGAACAGGAGGGAGTGCAACCGAGAAAGACATCTGATGCCAACCCCAGGCCTCCAGGAGCACTCGTGTGCACACACACACACATGCCCAAACACGAAATATACATTTACACACTCAGGCATGCCACATGTACACATACACATTCAAGTAAAAAGCATGAATTAACCGTGTGAATTTTACTTTTATTCTCTCGGGTAAAAAACCCCATTAAAAACAGCATATCTGGGGGCTAGGGAAGGCACTAGAGATGAAACCTAAGGCCCTGTGCATGCTACACCTGTGTTCTTCCCATTCTACCCTGATCTTCATTCACCCCAGCTCAAAGGCTTTTTCTTCATCTCTGCTGTAGTGCTGAGGATGGAGCCTGGAAAATTAAGTGCTGACTGATGGGACAGGGAGGCTCAGGAGCATTTTCCCTGGGTGATGGGAAACTGCCAACAGGCTCCTCTGGAAGTGAAGGAGGTTGGAGGAGGA